GTTTACCTGTTAAGTTTAAGGCTTGCTCTTATATTCAATGCTCTGCCAAAATAAAAGTACTCGATCAAATGTTATAAAATTTAAATCCAGCCTACTTCGACACATTGAAATAACAATGACATATATGTTTTACTGAAATTCCAACATCGATTTTTTGCCACTTTTTCAGGATTTTATCCCATAGTGTGACGGCTGGAATCAAACTCGAGTCTTCCGCTTGTTAGGCAAGTGTTCTTACCACTGAGCTATCTAGGTTTCACGTTAATGACCTCTTCCGTTTTCCCATAAAGGATATTGATATCGTCCGTTTTTTGGTATCAATACAATACTGGCTCAATATCCAGGATTGGGAAATCTTGTAACTGTAACTAGTTACTTTTTAAAAGTAACTAGTTACAGTTACAGTTCCCTTTGCAGAAAATGTAACTAGTTACAATTACAAGTTACTGGCTATAAAAAGTAACTCAGTTATAGTTACTCAAAAAGTAACGAGTCGTTACTTTTAAGTTACTTTCTTGAAATGATTGTAAATTATTATTATAAATACAAAAATCTTTCATTTTAAGATTTACTAAAATGTAAGAATTAAATTTTATAATTAATATCTACCACATTAATTAGTCAATCCACTTAACAAATTTTAAATCTGTACTTAATGTAATAAAAATTTAATGATAGCCTTATAGAGGTAAAAGAATTTAATCACATACTCCATAAATATGTTGATAAATTTCCCAGATAGTACAGAGGATTTAAAGGTAATTCAGTCGTATGCCACCAATTCTGAGTTTATTTTTAGAGGTAAAAAGAATTCTTTTCACTGAACTAAACTCTGAAGAATTATTTTTGCATCTGAAAATCAACTCAGAATTGGTGACACACGACTGGATTTTTTTTTAATTCTCTGTGCTTTTTGGATTATTAAATTAATATACGATTACTATATAATTTTAATTTTATTTTACGTTCCCGAAATAACTATTAAAGTAACTATTAGAAAAGTTGCAAGTTACTAAAAATAAGTAACTAAGTTAAGTTACAGTTACAGGTGAGAAAAAAGTAACCAAGTTAAGTTACAGTTACTGAAAAAATGTAACTGTAACTGTAACTTTGTTACAAGTAACGAGTTACTTCCCAACCCTGCCAATATCCTCTATTGATAGATTGTATACGATTCTTATTTGGGTATCCAGTAGTGATTCTACAAACAGAGCCAGTACCAATAATATAGCTTTTTTAATACTGAGCCAGTACCGAAAATGACAAACATTTTTTGGTAACGCCCCAGTACACGTACGATTATCCAGTACCTAATCTTAGTACGGAGCCAGTATTAATAATATAGTTTTTTTTTATATTAGGCCCAGTACTGAGCCAGTACCAAAACCGGACATCCGCTTTTCGGTATTGACTCAGTATCGAGCCATTTTTCCGTACTGGCGAAACGTATACGATTTCTACTTGGGTAATTATAAACTTGTATTTTTATATTGGCATTTTCATTTAGATTTGTAATTAGCGATCTCGTAAACTTCTAGAATCATCTCAATATAAAACACATCTCTTTTAGGAAAGCCACGAAAGAATTTAATTTTAAATTATGTACTTCCAAATATCGCTATTCAGCAGCATATGTTTTAAAGTTTAAAGTATACAACGTGCTGAATATCATTATTATCCCCTATCATCGATACTTAATTTTAAACTTGAGCAGAATGAGGAAATTCACACTCTATTCATAATTCTCAATTGACTACAGCAAATGAATAATAATAAAAAACATCTTTCCCTTTTTAATATATACATAGAAACCTATAATAATATATACAGGGTAGTCTAGGACGATATCTCAAATTCTTATCCGCTTTTTTTGTGGGAACGTAGTACAGGTAGAGGTAAACATAAAATTTCTATACTGATTTGCGATATTTGTAGTAATAGTCAAGAAATTAATTATAAAAATTAAGGAAAAACGTGGGCTGAATGGTAGAGGAAGAGCTGCAGCGCGGCTCAATAATCACTTCAGCGCGCAGTACGGCAAGATGTAGGAGCGCAGCAATATAAGCACAGGCAATGGCATGTTGTTCTTCCAATCGCTACGCGCCGATATCCGCGCGTTATATTATTGGGTTGCGCTGCGGCTCGAACGTTCCTTCCTCCATCATCCAGCGCGCGCTTTTCTTTAATATTTTACAATTAATTTATCGACTATTATTACGAACATCGCAAATCGGTATAAGACTTTTATATTTATTTCAACCCGTTCTACGTTCTCACAAATTATGTGAAGAAAAGTCTGTGGCATCTTTTATATACATACAGGGTGTATCAGACCACTCGTGCCATTCCTTTTATTTGAAAAAGTCATACGGAAATGAGCAAAACATTTTTTTATAGGAAACCGTATTCATAGAATCAATTGGTGATACTATGATTTTCTAGAAAAAATTGGGAGTGATCGAAACCGAAGATAACTTTAAAATTTTAAATAGGAACATATATCAAATGTGATATCAGTCAATAAGTCTCTTCAAAATAAACAATTTCCATTAGAAACATTTTTTTTATTTCCACTATTAACCGAGAAAAATTAAAAAATACAAAAATTTCAAATATGTTAATACGTGTTTCAATCCTTTGAGAGACTGACAGCTGTACCATTTGGTACAGTAACATTGTTTCTCTCTGTAGTCGCCGTGCGTTCGGGATCGCGCCAGAGATGTCGCTTCCGAACAGCATCTCTGAGCGTTATCTAGGAAGAGGAGAGTGTCGTGAGCGTGGAGCGTCAGGTAGCTCAGTGGTTTAGAGCAGTCGCCCGGCAAGCGAAAGACCTGGGTTCGAGTCCCGGCCTAGCAGGACCGCGCTCTCGATATTTTTCTCTTTCTGGAACGAAAAAGATACGCAGGTCTCGAACGCACGGCGTCCCGCCGCCACCTAGTATGCTCTCCTCCTTCAAATCAAATGTTCGAATTGTCTTCTATTAACATTTAAATTAGCTTCTACTTGATGGCGGACGTTATCTAATGCTAGTATCTTCTCAGCAGACAGAGATCGACAAGCTGCTTGAAAATGTTTCTTTATATTTTCTTTTGTAGTTTGGCGCTGTTTATAAAAAATGTCTTTTATTCGTCTCTACACATGAAAGAAAATTCGAACGTTTAATCTGAAAAACAAAAGCTAATAAAAGGATTGAAACACGTGTTAATGTATTTGAACTTTTTGCTTTTTTTTATTTTTTTCGGTTAATAATTGAAATAAAAAAAATGTTTCGAATGAAAGTTGTTTATTTTGAAGAGAGTGATATATTTGAACATTTGATCTGGAAAATAAGGGCTAATAAAAGGATTGAAACACATGCTAATATATTTGAAATTTTAGAAACTTTTTCTCAATTTATAGTTGAAATAAAAAAATGTTTTTAATAAAAATTATTTATTTTGAAGAGGCATATTGAGTGATATCACATTCGATAGATATTCCTATTTAAAATTTTGAAGTTATCTTCGGTTTCGATCACTTCCAATTTTTTCCGGAAAATCGTAATAGCACCAATTGATTCTATGGGTACAATTTGCTATAAAAATATTTTTTCCTCATTTTCATACGATACTCGGTTGCCGTATAAAAGGGATGGCACGGATGGTCTGATACACAACCTATATATACAGAGTGGGGAAAAAAGTCGGTATCCCTGAATCTCAGAAAATATAAGTTTTATAAAAAAATGTTTCACAAACAGAAGTTGTAAGGTGTAGAGAGATTTATTCATTGATATCATTAGTTTGAACTTGGGTGGAATCGCCAAGGTCAGGACAAAATCACCTTGAATTTTTTAAATGGAACTCCCTTCTTTTCATTGCATATTCTTATAGCTTAGGTTGAGAGCTTTCTAAAACACTATAATAAAATATTTTTTGTTTAAGTACTTTTAGAGTAATGAAACTGGAAAGTTATAGTATTATAACGGCATTAGCATTACCCATAGTATACCACGCGGAGGTTGCTCGGTCAGATTTACACATCTTTCGTGTGAGTGTGTTTATGTGTACGCGTGTGTGCGCGTGCACGTATACGGGTCTTGAAGACGTTATAAATACGTTTTTTTAACAACTTTTTAAGACGGCTGAAAAATTTTAAGACGTTCTATATAATACAAATATCAAATGTCTAAAATACATTAATATAATACAAATGTCTAAAATACATTCTAGAAACGTTCTAGAGACAACAAATCGCTTCTGGAATGTATTTTGGATATTTGTACTGTATGGGATCTTTTAGACTTTGTAAGACGTCATATTTTTGTATGGTAATCTTCATTAATTAATTAATAACTAAAAAAATAAATAATTAATAACTAAATAAATAAATAATTAATTAATTAATTAATTAATAACTAAAAATGTACGTGATCATTTGCAAAATGGTAAATGATTTTTTTATTCAATTTAGCTTAATATATCAGCACACGACAGACATCGCTATAATATGCATCTACGGTACTGCGGGTGATTGTACACCAATTTTCTTTGATTAATAATTTAAAATTTTATGTGGTATTTTGCGAAATAGTAAATTATTTTGTATTTAGTTTGATGAGTTCTACATGCACACAATATGTTTTTAAGCATCAGCAATATGTTTTTAAGCACTCTGTATATAAATAGAAAATTACTAATAATATGTATATAAACTATTACATTCGTTATATTACATGTTATACACACATACATTTTGTTACCTTATAGCTATTCCATATAGCACACATCTCTAAAAGACTTCTTAAAGAGTTCCAAAAAAGTTCCCAGGTCTTTCAGAACACTTTTGAAATTCTTTAAAAAGTCTTTTAGAGATTTGTGCTATATGGGATATAATAGTTACATAATTATATTTCTTGGGATGTAATTATATAATTTATCATATACGTTAGTTAAAATTAATTATTATTATTATTTATTGCGAAAAATTGTCGTACTAATATTTATATAAACAATTTTCAGGCAACATATCTCACGTGATACTGCTGAAATGTTGAATCAGCTGCATATAAAGAGTAACGGTTGCTTTTTATATCTAGAGAAAGTTCTTGATGGCGTGGCTGAGAACTTTATTGTCCTGCGTGAAATACGTGAGATTCCAGGAACTCTGAATGGTCTATATCTTTGGCTTTGTCAACGACTTTTCAGCAAGAAACAGTTCGTCAAAGTTCAGCCTCTTCTGAATGTCATACTTGCTGCTAAGTTACCTATCACTCAGGATATACTTTATAAAAGCGTAAGAACAGCCTGCATCGGTATAACCGTGGATGACTTTAATCGTCGACTTTATCTTCTGCGCAGAGTGATATCAGTCTCCCGTACCGGTGCTTTAATGTTTTTTCACCATAGTTTTGCTGAGTGGTTGCTGGATGTTAAGCATTGTACCCAGAAATATCTATGTTCGGCCATTGAAGGACATGCCATGTTGGCAGCCTATTATACGCTCCGTGGTCCTGAGCTTAATGCCGACGAGATCTGTGTGTTAGCTCAACATTTGCAACGTGCAATATCGAACGTTACGACTAATACTACCCTAGACGTTCATACTCTTCAAATACTCTGGATAATTCATAGCAATGCTCCAATCGAAAGCTGTTATGTAGATAGCTCTGAATGCATTCTTTGGCCCAGACAAGACATAAAACTTCTTAAACTGTTAATTGAAGCGGGTGCTAAACCTTCTGAAAAGATCTTTGAAGAAGACAAAGATGCTGTTTCTTCTAGTCAGGTAATTTTATTCTTTATTACTATTCCTTTTTATTATTTTAATATTTCCTTGATTCTTTCTCTTTTAAATTTTAATCACTGTGTTATATATGATATTAATATATATATATATATATATATATATATATATATATATATATATGCCGGTACGTGTAAATGTAGGTATGTTCATGGAATGTTCATGGAATATTCTGGATATTTCACGATTATTTGAACATTCTGTGAACATTCCTTTAATGTACCGGTATATACGGAACTTTTGGAATACAAACGGAATATTCAAGAAATATTTAACGTTTATTGGGTATCTTTTAAGGGAAGATTCCTGAAGTAATTTGAATAAAAAAATTCTAATGCAAAAATGGCGAGACTATAATACTTTTCAAATTATAAACGATTAAAGTTGACTAATTATACTGATTAAAGTACACGCGCTTAGGTACGGTACAACACAATGATATAAGTGTATGCACATATCGTTCCTTTTCCAAATATTGATACGGAAGTTCTATACATACAACAACATATATAATAATAATTTGCCTTTTCTATTATTTAAACAAACATATTGCAAATAATTATAATTTCGTCAAAATGTTATGAATAACATATCATACAATACATTTATGAGAATTAATAAACTATCATACATTTGACGTTTCTTTCAGAGATTTACAACTAATTTCATATTTTATGCAAATTCTCACTTTAATGTACCTGAGCGCGCGTACTTTAGCCAATATAATTGGTCAATTTTAATCGTTTATAATTTGAAAAGTATTATGTTTTTGCATTAGGATTTTTTTTCATCAAATTATCTCAAGAACCCGTCCTTAGATAGGAAATAATACGGTAATGTAGTGGCGGGACACCCTGTATACAGGCTGCGGCAAAAATATCGGATCGGTAAAATATCTCAAAAAATATAAGTTTATATATATATATATATATATATATATATATATATATATATATATATATATA